CCTGCAAATGCTAAATCTGCAGCAATGGAATAAACTAAAAAATTTGGTACATCAGCACTGCATAGATATTTTACCTGGAGGAAAAAATGTACCGGGATGAAAGATTCTCCTAAAATGTATTCGGATTTCTCAGAGAAGAAAGCCTCGATCTCCTGATTGTGCACTCCTGAGTCTGTCTTATTGAATTAAATTCAAAAAGAAAAAAGTTCTGCCTACATGTCTATTTAAAGATTAAAATAACCTGCAAGTCACCTGCACTTCAAAGGGCTGCACACAGCTACCACTTCAAAGGTCAAGTCTTGTTATGAGAATATAACGGGCCAGTATGAGAGCTGACATGACCTCTGATTAACAGAAAACACATCCGCATGCTCAGATTCATTTTTCAAATCAAAAAGGCTCCGATTTTATAAATATGGGCACACATCGTAGTTATGACAGAAGAATATGTGTCTTGTCATAATAAAGAGCCACCGGAAACACAGCTAATGAATCCAGCGCTGTGCGTTCAATATCTGTGGCAGTGGGGAGTTAGTTAAACATTCATGTCATATATTTTTCCACTGGATATGGTTAACACCACTCCAGCTCAACAACATTTTTGTGGTCACAGTTAAACTCAACATATAAAGTTTCAGCATGCATGAGCTTCAAATGCACAGCGTGTGCAGCTTTTGCTATGACTGCAAATAATTCGTCCAGGGTTAGTAGGTGCTTCATAGCAGACCTCTTATTGTTGTGCCAGAGGATGTCTGAAGTTTAAGTCTCCTCTGTTAGTACAAACAGACCAGAACTATGAGAGTTGGCAAGACTAAACCATATATTTTTTGATAGAAAAAAAGACCAAAGCGTTACTTTAGGGTAATTTTGATTTCTAAACATTGAAGAACTAAATAATCTATTAATAAAAAAATGTGTCAGCAGAACAACTGAGCATTATTTCTGCAATTTAAAAGGTTCTAGAACTGAAAACCACATCATTGTTATTGAATAAAAGCAGCTTGGTGTGTCCAATGTACATACCCAAAAAGTCCGTTCCGTCTCTGACCTGCTTTCCTATGCAAATAAGTAATGTTGTAATGGCCGTGAAGAAAATCTATTCTGAGAAAAGTTGGTTTAAAGCGTCAATGGCAAATTAAAACATTTTTTCATGCCTTTCAACAACATTCTAACACAGTATCACTATAAATATATTGTGGAGAAATTTGTTTTATTAATTAAGTGGTTTTCTCGCATTTTTCTAAAAAAAAAAAAACATCTGCTAATAACATGTTTCGGACCAAAGCAACCATTGGACCATTCGACTGTTGGTCTAACCGAACCGCCACACTTCCCTGGGTCCTCCATTCATTAGTCACTCGCATATTTAGCAACAGAACACCACTGGTGAGAGCGGTTCTCCAATCAATAATATCAGAGAAGGAGAAACAGCTGGGTGCTACCACTTCAACTTTAGGAAAACTACCAGAGTTCCAAAAAGAAAAGACTCGGACGACAAGAGACGTTTGGACCTAGAAAATGAAGACTTGTGTTTAGTGCTCTCTTTATTCCTCTGGCAATGTGGGTTTCCAGTTTCAGTCCTTCGCAGAACAAGAGGCCAGAGCCACTAACATACACGCACACACAGGCTCACAGCGGCATTGTGACATCATACGGTACCAGCTAATGTCATAGGGTACCACTTAGCAAATAGCGACAGCAGATGTAAATTCAAATGTAATGTAGAGTTGTTACCTTAAGAGGGTGCAACCCTGACCGTTTTAGGCAGCATATTTAAATTTGAACTGAGATGCACTAAAGTGTCAAATTATTGACTACAAGTGTCTACAGCAGGGGTGTCAAACTCAAATTCACACTGGGCCGAAATGAAAATCTGGGACGAAGTCGCGGGCCAAACTTAATTTTTTTTTTAAAGTGCCGGCAAATTTGCACATTGTTTTTATCAACATATACGCAATTTTGAATCTTTTAATTTGGAAACAAACTTATTTTTACATTAACACTGAATGTGGAATAACCAAATTACACATGAGCAAGTCAATTTTAAATAAAACGCATCAGTGGTATTCATTGCTTGTGGTATATTCAGCATTTTAAAAATCTATTCAGGATTTATGTTTTCTTTTTGTTTATTCATTTTTCTTATTTTTTATTCTCCTTTTTTTCTCCTGTAATAAGCGTCATCGCTGCTGTGACATCTAGCTTTCCCCACTGAGGAACAATAAAGGGATTTTCTATTCTATTCTATCTGCAGCCTTTCCACTTACTGTTTTACTGTAGGTTAAATATTTTATCACGGGCCAACAACCAAATAAAAATATACCATAATTTCCAGACTATAGAGTGCACCTCAATATAAGCCATACCAACAAAAAAGGTTTTCTACACACACACACGCTGCACTCGAATACAAGCCGCGGCACAGCAGCCACATGCAGGTCTCCGGCGCACAGCCCATGTATGGCTATAACATAAGATAATTAGACAGAAAGACGCTACACGGAGGTTTTTCGTTGTTGTTTTAATTCAACAAAACGAATTTTAAACACGGTTGAACGTGCCTGCAAGTTTAGAAAAGAAAATAGCACTGATGGCATTCATATTTCTGGATGGTTATAAAATAAAAACAGAACTGACATGTTGTTACCGGTAATTTGCATGTTTAGAAGAAAAGAACAGCGCTGACACAGCATTAATAAGCCCTGGATGATTAGAAAATAAAAACTGCACACAAAACATGCCTGGTTAGCAAGTAAAACACACCTGCCTACCAGAAAAAGTCATTTGCTCTCATCTTCCTCTTGCGCACTAAAGCCATTAAAGTCCTCTTCTTCAGTGTCGGAGTTGAACAGCCTCAGAAGAGCTTCGTCACATACCTTTTCTGTGGCAATGTCAGTGTCGCTGTCCGTGTTGCTGTCATCATCCCCGGGTGAAGCTGGCTTGAATGAGTTCTTCCCGCTGCCGTCTCCAGCGCCGAACCATGGATTCATTCATGCCAAGCTTACATGCTGCAGCACTGTTTCCCTCCTTTACTGCCAGATCGATGGCCTTCAACTTAAATGCGGCAACATATGAACTCATACGTGTAGTTTCCATGATGAGGGGGTATGGATTTGAAAAAATTCTTCGTCATGCCGGCTGCTTGCATGTGCTAAATTAAAATGAGCACTTTCTTCGATTTCCACTTTTGACTTCCACCTGTTTCACTTTCTGCTAAAGCGCCCCCTGGCAGGTGAAGGCAACTCCTCAGTAAAGCCGCACCTCATTATAAGCCGCATGGTTCAGAGCGTGGGAAAAAGTAGCGGCTTATAGTCTGGAAAATATGGTAATTTTATCTTAAATGAAAATGCAATATCTCACCTATTAATTTTCATGTTTTGGAGCAGAAAAAGAGCATGAAACCAAAATATTTAAAGCTCAGTTTGCTCCACTGATTTACTGTGATGCTCACCTGTTCCAGCCAGATGCCTGCATCATGGGGTTGATGAGCTGAGGAGGAGACTCCTGCTGTTTTGCTCATCTTCATCATAACAATGACAACAGGTGCTCACATAGGTTTGTGCCGCTGAACATGGAGAGTGTCTGAGCAGCATGACCACGTTGTTGTGTGTCGGGGAGGAAAAATAACGACAGCAGCCACAGAGTCATGCTGATTTGAGCGTGTTGCTGCTCGCTGGAGTTATATCAGCTCTGTCTGGAAGTTAGTTGGAAAACTTTCTCTTTCAGTTGTGAACACATTACTGAGCGGTTAAAATCTCCGTTTCTGGGCTTCAACGTCGGCAAATAGCGGAGTAAACTCGGCGCTGAGTGAGAGGAGTGTTTAGTTTGTCCGAGAAAGCAGAGCTGCAGACACCGGCAGCAGATGCTGGAAAAAACACAAAGGAGGGAGCGCTTCGGCTCCGCGCTAACGCCACAAAGCATCATGGGACTTGTAGTCTTTCCAGTAAAATCGGCCAGCGGGTCACTTTTAATATATTTTTGATATTTATCTCGCAGTGCACATAAAAATGCTCTGCGGCCTTGTGTCTGACGCATGTGGTCTACAGCACAATCAGACACTCATTTATATAGTTTATCAGCAAAACAAAGTTGATTTGGGGTGACTTGCTCTTTAAATATGTTTTTATCTTATAAAAAACTAACAGGAGATAGCAGTTGGGATTTAAAACATCTTACAGCTGGTTTCATCTGCCTAAAAAACTCAGACCACCTAAACAACTCTTACATGATGCGTTTTAAAAACCTTAAAAAAAAACTTGGGTTTTCATCATAACGTGTGTTCAAACTAACAAAAGAGACATTTCCTGTAACACAAGAGCCAACCCCCCCCCCCCCCCCCCCATCCCCCGCTATGTTTTCCTGTTGAATGCAATGCCTTGTATGTATGAGCAGGAGGACCTACTGAAAACGGAAAGTGGTTACAAAGCATTTCCCAACAAATCTACATTGTCAGGAAAGCTCTCTTGTTTTGGGACTCAAACCTGTGACCCTTGTCAGCCTAACAAGGGTGAAAAATGACAACAACAGACTGAGTACATGGTTGCTTTGTCATCGGCCATGTACAGCAGGTCCGTGATAAAGTCTGAGTTGTTGACACCAGATAGAGGTTATAAAATGAGTACGGGGTTGTAAATGGCTGGGGTAGAGCAATATGGCAACATTGGTCTTTTCTCACTAAAGCTGATTCAATGTGAATGCACCCTGTTGAAATTCACAGAGGGGAGGAGATTTTCCTCAAAACAACAGACCAAGTCTGATTTTTTTAACAAAGGTAAAAATAAAACTAAGCCATGGGTATTCAGTGTCACAATCTACAATGGTCGGTGGTGTAGCAGAAACAGTGCAACAAATACTCAGATTTTACCAGCAAAATATTAATCGTATCAGTTTTCTTTCTCGGTTTGTAATTTAATAGTTTCACAGAAAGCAGAAGCATCATTTTAAAGTTTCTTAAAAGCAAATAAAAAACAGAACAAAAGCAGAGTAACCTATACATTTACCAGAAACGTTGATCGAGGTGCCTGCATCAATGATTCCACTGTTTGGCCGCACACAATACCGGCGCGGCGCCGTTGTCTTCACCTTAAAACACACATTCCGGTCTGTAGGGTTGGACAGCTTAAGATTTGTGGTGACCACGTCCAAAAACGGACCTGTGGAGGCAATCACAACAAATATTCAATAACCTCATTGAATACTTAAGAAAATGGCAAGATGTTTTTTTTACCCCAAAATAAAATTTTAATATCAGTAAATGATAAAAAAAAACAACCTTTACCTTTGAGGCAAGAAGCATGTTAACTAAACTTGGACAGAGGTTTATTTCAGTTTAGATCTCAATGACCACACACACACACACTCAGATTTAGAAATCCCATTCCTTGGTCAAGTAACTCGGAGACCAAATGTTAAGAAAACACGATAAATCAAAAAAGACAGATGGAATATAAACTTTAACTGGCACGCAAACTCAAACAAGCTTAGAATGTGTCTAAGCTAAAAGGTAAGAAAATGAATCTTGGCAAATAATTTGTTTATCAAAGAGCTGTTAAATTTTCCATCCATCATGTGCTGCTGAAGGGGAGGCTTATGGTATTAGCTCGTATTTAGGTTCAACCTAAAAATACATCTTAGTTTACTGAAAGAGAGAAAATATAAATAAAAAAAATACCAGGGGCAGTCTGGATGTGACAGTAAAAGAACAACTACCAACAACTCCGAATAAAAAGGAAGAAAATAATACCTATACTTTATTTCTCTTGCTGTTATACCCACTGTTGTACAGCCAATTAAAACTGAGCAATATCTATGCTATCAAAAGCTCCATTTAGAAAATAAACTAACAAAAAAGGCTCAAATATGTGCATAAATCTACAAATCACATCACATTCTGGTGACACACCAGACAACAGGGCAGCAAATGCAGTTTGGTTTGAGTTAATTACAGCCATCATTGTGGATGCAGCCCACTTATCGCTCACAAGGCCAGCTGCATTAAGATTTATCAATAATGCAAAAAAAAACAAGAGTCATGGTAGATAACCTTTAGCCAAATCTAAACGCTGGCAAAACTTGAACAAATTATTCATCACGACTGCGATACAGCAGCATGCAATATTGAAGAATTGGGTAAATTCTTAAAGTTAAACCCAAATTGCTCAATCATTACTCGGTTTGGGGACTCGCGAGACAAAATCCCTCAAGGACATTATGTAACCCAAACAAAATGGTGAAATATTTTCTCAAGTTACTGTTTACATTCGAACAAATCAGTTGATGAATGCTGTGAGGAAAGACACCTTTCAGATCTTTTTGCATTATTGACTGAGCTCCAGCTTCTTCCAGTAGATTTCATTTGTTCCCAGTGTACCCAAAACTGACCTCAATAATAAAGCAGTGAAGTGGTGAAGTTATCTGATATAAAACAGAAAACTAGCAATGATACATATAACCTGTAATCAGTAGGTGTGTTCTTCATTTGAATTAAGTCTCATTTAATGTAAGTGGCATCTAATAACTGAATTAAGTAGAGTTTGACAACTTCAGGCTCAAATTTGGCAAAGTCAGCAATGATAAGGGGATTGCTACTTAAAGAAAAACAAAAACAAGTAATGTGCATTTAAATACTGCTCCAAGCAGATTACACTTTAACGGACTAATCCTGAAAAATGTTTCATTTATTCTCCTCTTTACGGCCTACTTCTGTTTGCATCCACAGTTATGGTTTTACTGGATCTGCCCTTAACACCATCGATCTTACCATCCTGATTAACGGGCTCTGGAATGTAGTGGGTATGTTTGGTCTGGCTCTGGAGTGATTTCAGTCATAGCGTTCTGACAGGTCCTCTATTGTTTTTGCAGACCATTTTATGTCCGTCTCTAATAATCTGCCATGTGGGGTACAGCAGGGTTCAGTACTAGGACCTCCTCCATTTCTTCTTTGCATTTTATCTCTAGGACTTATAATCAGGCAGTTCACTGATGTGCCTAACAACTTCTATGCTGACTAAATTAAGCTCTATTGCTATTTTAATCAAATGGCATTTCTAAAGGTTAACTACAATTGAACAGTGACTTGGTGGCAACTACCTTTAGCTGAACTCTGAGAAATCTTTATTGCACCTGAGAAACGAATATCTGAAAAATATCCTGGTATTCTGGCGTTGTCTGTCCAGCTGAGCCGCAGACACCTCCATGTTTTCTTTGACTCTGCCGTGTCCTTGGAGCAACAATCTCACCAGTTAATCTAAATTTGCTATTTCATTTAAGAAACATCTACAAAATGCAAATCATGGCTGTCTAAAGCTGATTTGGAGATGATCATTACTCCCGACTTAAAACCTCTGCACCATGACGCTCCAGCCTACATCTGTGATCTTTTAGGACACCACACCCATTCTAGCAGCCTGAGATAAATGATAAATGACCCGCACTTGTATAGCTCCTCTCAGAGTAAGGACTCCAAAGCGCTTTACACTACAGTTTATCATTCATTCATTCACACACACATTCATACACTGGTGGGGATGAGCTATGATGTATCCACAGCTGCCCTGGGGTGCACTGACAGAGGCGAGGCTGCCGAGCACAGGCGCCACCGGTCCCTCCGACCACCACCAGCAGGCAAGGTGGGTTAAGTGTCTTGCCCAAGGACACAACAGCAGAATTCACTGTCCGGAGCCGGGATCGAACCTGCAACCTTCCGATTACTTCTAGACAAAGGCTGCTGGTAGCTCCACGAGCTTGTTTGAACACCAGAGGACGCAGATATTTTAGAGCAATGGCCCCCAGGTTGCGGGACGTATTGCCTCCATCTTTGCATTAGCTTGACTGCTTAGCAGGTGAACATGCATTTGTTTAGACTGGCATTGACTTGGATTTGGGCTGTATGATTTTATGTTTTAATCAGTTTTACGTTGTTTGTAAGCCCTTCATTTGTTTTATATTTTATTTTGAAACCATTTGTGGCCTACAAGATAAGGACTCTTGTTAAGAGTGCTATATAAACAAAGTTTATTTACTTGATTCAGTAGAAATGACAAAAAATGTAAGTGCATTTGACAGATGAGCTCCAACGAGACTATTAAGAGTTAAAATACATGTACTTTTCCAGATGCTTTAACCCTGGATAAAGAACAACCTAAAAAGTCTTGTTTTCTATGAATCTGCATATTTTTGTTGGGTGTGGATGTTTGCTAATGTCCCACAATTCAATGATACATCTTCCTCCAGTGTGTACCCTCATATTACTTTCAGTTATTTCTGGCCACAGTTTCTACATTGACAGCAGGACACTACAGAGACTTTAGCAATAGCAAACTGGCAAGTATTAGTCACTCCTGTGTTTTGCTAAAAAGGTGTAGTCTTGTGTAAACAGGCAATTCAATTCATCAAGCAAGCAGCAATGGCAACCGAATAAATGACTGACTAAACTCTCTGAAGACCAATGAAAAGCAAGTCAGACAGTATTATGGGGGGGGAGTCAGTTCATAAATGACGAATAAATAGGATTTCACATGGTGCCTAAACGACCCCCACACCCTGGCTCTCATAGTCCACGGGTATAGTCTTAAGGCCGTTTACAATAAGGTGACCTCAGCCAGGCCAGGTGGTGACCGCTCATCCCTGTGCAGCTACGTTTTGTTTACATGGCCTTCTCAGGAACGCAGAAGCCTCTGAGCACGTGGGCGGGGCAAAAGAGGTGTGGAGCAGTCCGTGGTGTCCTTAAGTGCCATAAGTTAGTAAACAAAAGCGGGTGTGAGCAGTGTTGCTTTTGGAGCACACGGCTCCCGACTCACTGAGCAGCAATGCTGCCGTGGGCTCCTCTCCCATCCAAGCGCGCTCACTGCAGACGGTCTGTCCTTGTCCTGCAGCTCCGGTCTGAGCTACAATCTGATGAGATGTACCCCACTGCCCAGTTTGATAATGAATTGCTGATGAAGGAAGTCGCCACTGGCTGATTCTACATGCCAATTAGAGGCTCCCACTGGTAGGTAAGCGTGAAATTCAGCCGGCCAATCAGTCAATAGTGGGTGTGTTTTAGGGGTAGATCGATATATCGGTCAGCCGATATATTGAGCTGATATTTGCAATTTTTTTATACATCGGCCGATATTTGTCCTTATAAAGCTGTTGCAGAAATGAACTTAAACATATTTTTACATTCACCAATAGCATATACATGTAACGAGAGGAAATATGGGTTTTCTGTCACAAAGGTGGTGTTGGACTCAGCTGGGTCAAAGCTGGGTCGCTGAGAACTTTCACCCACAGATTAAGACCTGAACGCCAGAGAGTCTGGGAGGAAACCATAACATCTGCCACCTGCAGTACCAGAAGAAGGAGTTCTCATGGACAAGTAGTCATAACATAACAAGTCTTAAAACTTTGTTTCTTGATTTTAATGTTAAAGTAACCATTATCATTTTGCTCATTATAAATGTGTTTAATCAAATGAATGGTTCTTATGCTTTGGGTAATTATAAGAGATTTAATTAATCCATTCTTAATTAAATGATAATGTTGAGGATGTTTGTTATCGACCTTCACACACTCAAGCACACAAACACTCACACACACCCACACACAGATTCTCACAGTAAACTCCAAAACACATTTGATGACGCACACGTTTTGCTTTGAGAGGAGAAAGGCTTTTGGTAAGTTTTTCAGTCTTATGATTTCAGTTCGTGCTTGACAACGAAAGAGAGAGGACGTGTGAACAACCGCTAACGGGGGCACGGAGCCCATTGGCTCAACCCCCCCCCCCCCCCCCCCCCCCCCCCCCCCCCCCCCCTTCTCACGCTGTTCCTGCCAAGCCAGGCAGAATAGCTGAATCGCAACTTCTAACGCAGACTCATACAGAGTCTTTGATTTCTGAGTGAATTAACTTAAGAAAGCGCATCGACAAAACGCTTTACCATCAACGTGTACCGAGGGCAACTCTGGACCGGTTCGCGGCGCATCTTTGTCTTCTTTGCCAGCCAAGGTGCCCTGGATGAACATCATCCTAAGGTGACGTCCCGGGTCCAACAGAGGGTCTGATTTTCGGTGAGGCAAAACACGACAGATAGCGTTTTGATGCATCTTTTCCAACTAAACCTAAGTTTATTCAAACCATCACTTTTCACTCAGACACCTGTTTCTTCCTGAA